TGAAGGGGTGGACGTACTTACGGACGTACCCGGTACGGACGATTTTCTCAGAACCCAAATTTCTTGGATGCATAGATTACAGGACCTGTACACATCATTTAGGGCATAAAGTGGCGAATCAAGCAAGCATGAACAACATAAGGTAACCTTTTAGTTCATTCAACAACAAGAAAAATAAACTTAAAACCGCCAACCTTGTCTTCAATCGGGGCTTATTATTAACTTTCCGACGAAACACTCGTCACGCTCGTTGGGGCTCATTTAGACGACATCCCTTCCTTCTAAACACTACATTAAGGAATGTTTTGTGGGAGTTTTTGGTGGCGATCTTAACCGGCGCCCCATTGATCCCAACAGTTATTATTGAATGAGGCAGAGTAGGATATGAAGAATTAATATTCTGCAGATCGAGGACGTGTTTTTCGACCTCGGGGGATAACACCTCGATCTCCCGAACTCTTCATATCCTACAAAAGCCGAATTCAATAAGGGACTGGTCAAAAAGTATAGGGGGAGGGGGTGAGCCGGAGCAGAAGGGGGAGGGGGGGGTGGGTCATGAGGTTTTGAGCCTTGTGCAAGGGGTGGGTCGGGCAATTTTCAGCTACCCTTACCGGGTAGGTCACCCTATTTTATTACATAGATAGGCACTAACTACTAACGACACAGTTGACTACACCTGTTATATAAAACACAGCCAGCTGTAATTATTGCTAAAATAATTACAAACCTGTTGTGCGAGAAAATACAAAGGGAGACAGGTCGCACATCTATACGGGCGTGGAACCCTTTGTTAACTTTTTTTTTTGCTCTAGTGAGCATGTCCTTTAATGATTTTCCTTTTTTTGTAAGAAAATGATTGGTGGTTCTTTAAAAATTTATTGAAGTTATAGTTGGTTTTGAATAAGATTCCATTTTTTCATTCAAGCTTCCTTTACAGTAGACATTGGTATTGTGTCTTGAATGGCAATATTTCTTTTTCCTCCTTGTTGTTTTCGTTTAGGAGTTTAGACTCCCTTTTGTGAATTTTATTTCTGATATTAGGTTTTCCATCAAAGATTGTGGGGAGCCTCCGTCCATCAAGCGTTTTTCTTTTTAAATTTGAACTATTTTCCTCAAAGGTTGATTCTGAGGAGTTTTTGCGTAGGATCCTCAAGGCTTCTCCTTTGACAAATCCTTTTTTAACATTTGGAGGGTGATACGAGGTGAAATGTGTGTGCAAGAAGGTTTCCGTTTGTTTAAAATGTGTCTTTGCATCAAGGATAGATTTTCCTTGAATCTTGTGCCTTTGTATATAACCGTGTCTAAAAACGCAGTCTTAGTGTCAAATGTTTTGTTTTGGGTTTTGGTCTGGTTTACTCACGTCCCATAGGGAAAGATATTGTGTATGTAGTATTTCCAAACTGTTGTTCTAAAGACAGTTTTGCTTAGAGTTGTTGTTTCAATATATGTTGTGAAAATATTGGCAAAGGAATCAAAACTGCTGTCTTTGTGCCCATTGCAGTTCCATGGTTTTGGAAGAAATTTTCTTTCTTTTCTAAGCATTCCCGGCAAGTAATGTGGAGAGGAATGGGTTGTCTTTTTAAAAATTCATATGCTTTGTGACAGACAATTTCAATATACCCTCGTTTTGCTGTATATTTGTGTCAAGACTCATAACGTCCATCGAAACAAGAAATGTGCGGTTTTTCACATTTGTCTTTTCTTTGAAAAGTTTGATTTCTGTGATTTTGATATTGGTTGTAGCAGTGTATCAACAAATGTTGTCAAGCACAGAACAAGGTTTCATTGGATTATTAAGAGGAAACCAAACGTCCATGTTTTAACTAGGGGGTGGGTCATGCAATTTCCAACCTTGCTTTAGGGGTGGGTCAGTCATTTTTGTGCCGAAGGGAGGGGGTGGGCCATGCGTTTTTTATCAACCACATTTCCAAATGCTCCGGCCCACCCCCCACCCCCTATACTTTTTGACCAGTCCTTAAATGCTTTATTATTCATTCAAACAAATTCGAAGTTTAAAAACAAGCTGAGACTAGCTTACCTCGGTCTATGTTAAGTTTATATCGATAGTGCATCTCTATCGAGAAATTTAGAAGATAAAGGTCTTTTTAGGTCTGCAAGTATACTCCAAATAGCAAATGTTGTCCGTCGAGTTGTCTTCTTGCTGTTCTTGCTACGGTTTTAGATAATATTTCGTTGTGAAACGAGTGAGATGTTTCGCCGACTGTTCAGCCATTTTGTTCTCACTACCAAAACAACTCAACCTTGTCCCCAAGTTTTCTCGGTTAACGGTTCAATAATCTACGCTTTGGCTGCACTTTTGACGTCATCGGTTCAATATGACAAAATTCTTTCCAACAGTAGCTTGTTATGATGAATTATGCGTGTACTTTTAGCCAATCAGAAACGGAAAGATATTTTGAATGAATAATAATGTCTGATTAAAATTAACAATGTGTTTTAATTCTTTTTATTTTACAGTGTGCCATTAGATTAAACAACCATGGCCACTTCCTCTGATCAACTGGCTGAGCTTAGACAACATGGTAGCTTTTTTGCCAGGTCGACACTGAAAGTAACTCTTCTGGGAAGTGAGTGGAATTCTTCAGCTGGTGGTTTGTCAACATTAAACAGGGAGCTTGCTATTCACCTTTCAAAACATCCTAAAGTGGAAGTAGCATTGTTAGTTCCCGAGGGATGTTGTGAAGATAAGGAAAAAATAGAGGCTTGGAGCTATGGAGTAACTATTGCCGATGCGCCGCATCAACCAGGCTATGATCCTCTTGACTGGTTAAGCTTCCCACCCAAAGACCTCAGCATTGATGTTGTTATTGGTCATGGTGTAAAGCTTGGCCGGCAAGGACAAGTTATCCGAAATTTTCTCCAGCTGAACAACTGTAAGTGGGTACAAGTGGTACATACTGCTCCAGAAGACCTTGGCAAGTATAAAATCTACGGTGAACCTACTTCAAAAGGGGAACAAAAGCATCAGGTTGAGGTTGACCTCTGTAAGCGTGCTGATCTTATCGTGTCTGTTGGACCTCGGCTAACAGAGTTTTACTCTTCGTACTTACGAGGCTGCAAGAAAGATAAGGATATTTTTTCGCTTACTCCAGGACTTTTTGATAGGGAATTTGGGGATTTAGTGCAATCTGCCCATGGCAATGGTGACTTTAGGGTGTTAATATTTGGTCGTGGTGATAAGGAGGATTTTGAGCTTAAAGGGTACAACATTGCTGCTGAAGCGTTTACTGACCCACGGCTGAAGAAAAAACCTTATCAACTGATCTTTGTTGGTGCACCTGAAGGAAAGCAAGACGATGTTTGGGAAAGACTTCTGCAGTGCGGTGTTGCTAAAGAACAGCTAATTGTCAGAACATTCGTTCGTAACAGAGGCAAAATAAAAGATTTGCTGTGCGAAGCGGACCTTGCCATCATGCCATCAAAATCAGAGGGATTTGGACTTGTAGCACTTGAGGCCTTATCTGCCGGTTTACCTATTCTGGTAGGCAGTAGGTCAGGATTTGCCAAGGCTTTAGAGAACATTCCTCATGGTCATTCGTGCATAGTGTATTCTGATGACCCTGCAAAATGAGCAGAAGCGATTGAAGCCGTTCGAGTAAGACAAGAAATGCGACTGAAGGAGATCAACTCCCTGAACAAATCCTACGATAAAATGTACAGTTGGGAGGAGCAATGTGAAGCCCTTGTAGAGAGGATGTGGAAAATGGTTCATGACCAGAGCTGTGAGTTACACTAAAGCGTTTCTGTACTTTTTAAAATCAATACTAAATTAAAGTTTTTCTCGATACACGTTTTCGAGGCCATAGCGATATCTTTCAATCGACTTAAAAGTGATTTTATCCTTTTTCGATCGCCCTGAAATTTTCACCACTGATTAACTGTGAATTGAAGTTCGTCAACATAAAGCAGTTTTAAGTAAAATCGATATCACTATGACAACAACAAACACTTTGAAATCAATGAATGCCGAATTTTGCGCGATCTAGACCAGTTACTGAAAAGCTGACGTCAAGAACTTAACTAAAACGTGGTGTTTAGAAAAAGACCCTTGAGACAAGTAACAAATTTGGAATATTTGAATTCAAATAGAATGTAATTAAACATATTTCAAGCCTTATATTTTCAATAGCCGTGATAAATTGTTTGATAAAAAATTCTGAATGGCTCAAATTCATCTGACGCTGCTTAAAAGTAATAATAGTCAAAAGTGAGAACCCGCGCGTCCGGCTGGCCGAAAAGTGATTTTGGGAATTTTTTTTTATCGTTTTCATTAAAAGCCCATAATTATTACCCTTCATATCACATAGGACCAGATTTTTCTAACAGAAAAGTCCCGGCATTATAGAATTCTCTTCATGAAAACGCTTTATAATTCAATGCTATAATTTGTTGTGCAAAGGAGGCGCGTGCTTTGATCGTCGTGGATATTGAATGAGTGCAAATTCTCTTGCAAAATTGTGAAAAAAACTGAAGAATTATAGGTTTAAATAGGGCAAAAAAGAACAAATTCTGTCCGAGGTCTGTATGATAAAAAAAGGGCCTTATAGTACTGTTTACCTGAGACGTGATGAGAAAAAGTATGTTTAAAAGGCTGGTTTACACGCCACCAGATTCGTCACCAAGATTTACAGGCAGGTACAAAAGTCGGACCGGATCAACTCGGACCGCCAGTCCGGGTCGGATCAACTCGGATCGACTCGGACCAACTCGGATCGAAAAAAAAAAAATAAAAATAAAATAAAATTGGACTCGGATCAACTCAGATCATTAAAAAAAAAACAACTCGGATTATAAAAAGAGACAAAATCAGTAGGTATCACTTAACTTTCACCCGCCATTTTGTTTTTTTTCTCACGAACTCGTGATTGCGTAAATTAATTTTATTTTTATTAATTTTAATGATACACTAGTGAGCAGCACATAAATTTCCAGTAAACATTTTCAACTTGGAAGGAGGAGAAACCATGCTCGCCCGAGACAAAGGAAATTTCCATGCCCCGGGCAAGAATCGAACTCGCGACCATCCCGGTTCAGTGGTTGGAACGTTCGATAAACATGTAGTATTCGGAGGGTCGTGAGTTCAATTCTCGCCCGGGGTACGAAAATTTTCGTTGTCCCGGGCAAGCATGATTTCTCCTCCTTCCAAGTTGAAAATGTTCACTGGAAGTGTACGTGTGCTGCTCACTAGTGCATCATTAAAATTAATAAAAATAAAAATTAAATTAAATTTATGCAACCACGAGTTCGTGAGAAAAAAACAAAAATGGCGGGTGAAAGTTAAGTGATACCGACTGATTTTATTTTTCTTTTTATAGTCCGAGTGGTTTTTTTTTTCATAATCCGAGTTGTCTCTTTTTTTTATGACCCGAGTTGATCCGAGTCCAGTTTTATTTTATCTTTAATTTTTTATTCGATCCGAGTTAGTCCGAGTCGATCCGAGTTGATCCGATCCGGACTGGCGGTCGGAGTTGATCCGGTCCGACTTTTGTACCTGCCTCAAGATTTACTAGTAAACTAAACTTGTCGAACACAAAAAATCCGGCCTGATTTTTTATTTTGGCCTTTTTTTTAGACAGAGGAATGCAACGTGTAAATTGGCTGCCACCAAGGACTATCGTGGCGCATGTGTTTCTTAAAACTATATTTCGGGGTTGTCCAATTATCCATAGTCTCTCTAACGGAGCAATGTTGGAGAGACTGGTTAATGCCACATTATGATGCAACAGCTAATGCAAATACAATACACGAATAGGTCTATTTGTTTCCCAGGCCTAATCTACTCTGATCGAACATGATTGCTATTTTTCGGTGTACAAATAAGACTATTTAATAACTCGACGTAAAATTTGTTTCACTCTTGGACGGTCAAATTCTGATTTTTCTGTAAAACCACTCAGCCTTTGCCTCAAAAGTCAAATGAATGTGCCCTGATCTGTGGATTACAAGTTTATTGTTTGGTTTAAATCATGAATTTATTAACGGGAGCTTCGCTTTTAGCCCTGGCTAAATCTATATATTAGAGCTTGTATGGAGACGCCATATTTGTGTACAGTTTTGGTACACAAATATGGCCGCCGGAAATCAACAAAACCATCTGGAGTTCACTTTTTCTATAAAAGCTCTTTCTTTTCACTCGAGAGCTAGCATACGTGCACATAAACACATCTTCTATTACTAGAAAAGGTTAAACTGCTGATAATCAGGAGGAGAGACTTTTTTTCAACGAGACAGCATTCCTATTTTGGTGTCACGCACTGTGAATACTCAGAAGTTCAAATTGCTGTATTTTCGAAATGAAACATGCTACGGGACTGGAAACTTGTAGAAAGATTTATTTTTTGTTTATCTTCAACCTAGGGTAAATAAGAATTCGTAAAACCTCGTTATTTTGACTTTATAATTTGATGACGTCACCGTGAAAACCATCTATTAGATTATGGCCTACAATGGCTCCACTCGTCAGGTACCCTGCGAGGAGAGGCCCTTCGATCTTCCTAGACAAGAATTATCTAGGAAGATCGAAGGGCCTCTGCTCGCAGGGTACTCGTCAGGCTGACGGAACGCAATAACTGAAATCTTTATTCTAGAATTTTAGAAGTTTATTTTTAGTGATCTTCTACAACAACATGCTGAATCACATTTTAGAGGTACTGTCAAAATTTTCTCGTTACAAGAGCTTGTTATATCTGTGGTAAAAGTAGCTTTTCTTGCGATTCAACAGTGAAAAAGTTATTGTGCTCAAAAGAGTTGTGGCCGGACTGTGAGATAAACGTACGTGTGTCGACCATAAATTATATATTATCGTCTATTAATTATCTCTATTTATTGACTGAAGGCCCTAGCATTTAACTGGGCAGCCTCAAGGCAGGCCCAGTTCATGAAATCATAAATGGTAATGAAATCATAAAAGTAACCCAGAGGGCGTTGCGTGATCCATACAGCCTTCGCACAGTCTGTTTCTTTATTGCAACACACTCCTTTTTGGAGGTCTAAATTTCGGATTAGGATAAAGAAGACTCGTCCGACGAAAACAGGAACTTTGAGAATTTCCCACACAAGTTCATCTCATGGCCTTATTGGCGAGAATGCGAATAAGCGGCGAAGCTTCGAGAACGCAAAGCTTCACCGGGAGCCTAAATTACCAACTTGGGATAAATACAGCTGTAACAGAGTACTAAGGCTAGTTATTTACCAATACAAGCTTTGGTTACTTAGCATCCTAGAGCTTACAGTTGTTCTCATTAATGTGGCCCAGAGTTTTCGCTTTTGTTTGTATCTGTATCATTAAATTTGTGCGTAATCGAGTGTTATGCTTCTCCTTATTTCTATGTCTCGGCCAATTCGACATGCACGATAGTTAGCATTAGCGAGTTTCTATAAACTTTGAAAGTTCACAGCTTGCTTTAACATGCACCTTTTTATGTACACAACCTGTATTTCACTGAAAATGTTCTGAATACATACACTGTATATGTGAGGAGGTTAAGTAAAGTATATTAAGTATATGTAGGGTTTTAACTATTTTAAGGTTAATTATTGAACGTCGAGATGAATCGCTTGAACAAAAAAAAATTTTGAATTTGTGTCATTAGCACTTTGACCCTAACTCAAATTACCGTAAAAAAAATCCGGCTGTTATCGACCGGTTTGATCTAAAACCTGTGAGTTATCCTTAAACTTTTCGAGGCTGCACATTGCAAACGAACTATAGCTAATTCCTTTTTTAATGGGTTGAAGAAAGATAACAAATTAAAAGGAAAGAATCTTGAAACGTACAAATATTTTTATCTTTTGACAGGACAACAACTTTATTTTATATACCATACGGAAAAAAATAGCTTAAAAGGTTATCTAGCTAGAAGGTATAATAGTTTAATATAATTCAGAATATTAACAACAACAACAACAACAACAACAACTTTATTTGTACTCTACATTGATTTACAGTGATATATATAAAAAAATACTATAAAATATAGAGGGAGTACAGGTTGCCCATAATAACCATTGATGTTAAAGAGGGTGTTACATGGAGGCACAAGTATAAAACGCCCCCCATGCACACCATGTCTACTTAATGAGACCATAAATCGTGTCGACCATAAATTATAGATTATTTAACAATTAGTACATGCGTCAGTGTGAGTATGTCGAGATACTGAGGACGCGGGAAGTTTGGAGAGCACGAGAGAGGCGTAAGAGTTGCTCGAGGCCCACTCGAAACTGAGAGAAAGTATAATCAAGACGCTTAAGATAACAGTCAAAAAGAGTATAAAATCGATATTGAGGTGCCGGAAAACTATTAAATTACCAAAAAATTCTTTTTGAAAGAAATAACTTTGCGAAGAATGATTTCTACACGCCATAGCCCGCACAGCTCGGGAGGATGACACGCAGCAACAACACTCACCTCTTTCCTCTACTATCGGTTAGCAAATTCAAAAGTTTTCTCTTAAATTTACGTTTTTTACGTTATACAACACATGGTTAACGCTTCATCGTGTACTGTTGAGTTATTGATGCACTTGGGAGACGTTTTGGGAGGATTGCTAAGCTTACAAGAACTCGAGGTATAGTGTTTTGACGTCATCAGAGTGCTCAATGGGAGTATGAAGCATGCTCGCGCAATTGAATTTGAATAGGCGAAAATTCTAGCTATGTTATAACGTCTATTGATCATCTCTATCAGTCTCGGTTGAATAGGGTCGGTGTATCTTTGATGGGTGTTATAGCGGTTGTTTTCTCTTAAAATCTGTTTGCTGTCTGTAATTCTGTATAGTATAGGTTGTTGTGAACAGGCTTCCGACAAATAATCACCCTCGATATGGTTGTCTACATTAATATATTTACGATCACAGATTTGCCAGGTTCTCTCGCGTTTCGATCTCTCACTCAACCTAAGCGTTAATATTACATTGTTACGAAAGTCTTCCGAAAGGGTGCAATGTTCAAATGAGTTGATCATGTTTCACTCTCACATGAGATTCTATGTCACTCAGTTGTCGGCGGTAGCCTGTGTACAGCCGCCCCCTCCCCTCAGAAAAAATCGGAGAAGGGGCGATTTTATTTGAGGGGACGGGGAGGCTATACCGTTTTATAGCAGCCCAGTTAAAGTTGCTTTTCAACGAATCTAGGTTTACTAAAACTTGCCTCTAGAAAGAAAGTGCTGTCACATTCGTTTACCGAGTTTTGTTTACCATGTTGTTTTCTTGTTGTTATTTTTGTTTTGGTGTACTTAAAATTCTCTGTAACGCTACAGAAAACGGAATGTCTACAGTTTATTAACTGGCTTATCCCCAGCGCACGCTAGACTGACGTTGGCTTTCGTAGAGAGTTCTCTTAGAGTTTCTTTTGCCGCCTCGAGCAACGTTTCCTGGAGTGCATCCTGTAAAATCCTAAGAAGGATGACGTCCAGTGGGAGAGTAATGTCACGAATATGGGTACCCTTCACAGTGCCACATACCTATATATGTTATGGTTTTCAAGTCTTTCAGCCTCGGATCCAGAAAACTGATCAATTGGTTGAAGATTTTAGTCTAGACTAGGGAAACAGGGAATTGTTTGTTACTGTTAGTCACTGAAGAATCAAGAATTCGTAAATAGTTTAGGTGTTTGACGGCAAAGGTTCTGACCATGTCATGAATTGCCTGAGTCGACATTTGATCTTGTATTCTGAAGACTGTCTTAGTGAGGGCCTGTTATTTATTATTTAATACAGGGCTTTCAGATGAAAGTAAGCGCATGTCAAAACTTGAGTCGCCTGTTGACACGTGTAGAGAAGCAACTAAAACGGAAAAAGGATCATTCTTAAACAAGGAAAACTCTCCAACGTACACTTCAGGATCCGTCGGCAGTCCAGGTACAGAGTTACATAGTGCTGCATTAAACTAGCGGAGGATTAAGGGCCTGTTTACATGGAGTTGTGGGCCCCAGATAGGTGAGTTAACATGTGGCGGGTCACCTCACTTATCATGTAAACGTGATCAAATCATAATGAGAGATATATATGGACAGGCGGGTTAACCCACGTAGGCGAGTTACCTCACCTGCAGGGAGTTCTCCACCTCCATGAAAACCTTCCCTTAGTCTTGTTGTTCTACTAGATTAAGTAAAAATTTTAAAAAATATGTAAATTTCGAAATTATGGCTGTCAAAACCTAATTGGCATGATAACGTCAATGTTGACATACACATCACAAAGGCTTTTAAATGTCCCCGGATAAATTTTAGGATAAGTCGTCCTAAGTCTGGTGGTCATAGCTTAAACGGTTTAGAAGCTGTTCAACTATAAAGTTAAAAAAGGCCTCAAGAGCCCCCTCGCCGGCCTGAATTTGGGATTAAAAACTTTAGGCCTTGGAAAGCGACCGAAAAATGTCTTATATTTCTTCAGTGTGATAAGCGGAAGTAAAGTGCTTGTCGGATCATATAGCCATGAGTACTATTTCTCAAGGAACACAGAGAAATACATGATATGCGAAGATTACAGTTCTAAAAGAATACATAAATTGAACTTATCGCAATAAGTGAATGTTTTGAAATTTATTATGAGTACAGCTGTAACTTGAGTTACCTAAAAATCTGATGAAAACTGTTTGAGCATCGCAGCTTTTCTATTGACCAATTTTGTAGGTAGATCCCCAAACTAAGTTACAGTAATATTCGACAGTAATGCATCAGTCAATTCCACCTGCGCCAAGCTCCCCCAGGCTACTGCGGGGCATTTGCCCGCCTTGTCCCTAGCTTTGACACGCACGCGGTTTCCTATCAGAATACAACTACACAAAAGGTTCTACTGGAAAAAAAAAAGCAGATTAGCTCATTTGTCAAGGACAGGAATAAATTGAAGATGGTTGTAAAGTCATGTTCTCGATTTTATGCGTGCATTTCTTCATTGCTTATGATAGCGAAATTGGAGCTATCGATGTGAATCAACGTTTTTTGGCTGTTGATATTATTTGAAGAACATCCTTTCATATTTATAAAACTATTCATATCATATAACTTTACAGCGCTCTATTAATTTTAATGTCAATAATTTTATATCAATACTAAACCATAAACTGGTGCATGTCGTTGCAGCGTGAAGTCTTGATTAGAATCCTAGTGCTATTACAAAGGAAGACGTTAACTGAAACAAAAAATCGCACATTAAAATGCTTAAAATGGCACCTTTCGACTGTGCCATCAATGAAAAATGTTGCAGTGTTGACGGAGGACGGGGAATTTGCCCTCTTTTTTCGTCCCCACCCCGGGGGATTTGACAGCCCAAGAGGGGGGGCTGGGCGCAGCTGGAATTGACTGATGCATAATACGAAAGAATCGTTAGCAATAACTTAGTTATTTGACTCGTGTGCTGATTAGCAAATTTTTATCTTCATTACGCGGACATTCACATAAAATTACAGATTGTGCCAGGCTACGCGTGTACATAATAACTGCTAAACAATGAGAATTCTATTAATAGTCCATGAGCCAAATCCTGAAATGTTGCCAAAAAATGATTTTCGTAGGACCCTCTTTGGGACCAAGCTATTTTGGTACCAAATTAAAGCTTATTGACTATATTTTATGAATTCACTTGTTGCCCGGCTGGCAACTTGCACGTTAGGGAGATACGGCGGCGTTTTTAACGGGGGGAGGGTGGGGAGCATTTTTTGTCTTATGTACGTCTGTATTATTAAAAAACAAATAACTTTGTAAGCGCCAATCAAATGTGGGTAAAAACTTGTATTGCTTCTAGACAAGTTCATTTATTACATTTCATGTTTGTATTTACACTGCAGATTGCCATGGCAACGGTTACTATGGAAATCCTTCGGTTATTTGTGAAACACCATTTTCTCATTGTTTCGTTGCTATTTTTAGTCAAATTATTTAAAAAAAACAATATATAGTGGTAAAAAACTACATGACTATAGTGTGGTTTTCGTCTTAACCAAATTGATAGCGTTTACTTTTACAAAGCATCCATGCTCTTTTTTTCGAGGGGTGGGTCGTGGGCAGGGCAACGCGCTACAGAGCGCCAAAAATGCCCTAAAACGATGTTTTCCAAAAATTGACCATTTTTACGACTCACTTTAACATCATTTGCTGTGGAAGTTATTTTAAATGTTTTACATCTGCTATAAGAGATTAACTACCTTGCCTTTGTGTTGCCATGGCAATGGTTATTGGTAAAATAGGCTCAAGTAACAAACCATTTTTTTCTACACATCCGTGTTTGAAATAGTGGGACCCATTTGAAGAATCTGAAGAACTTGTCAGCCTTAGCTCTGGATGTACATGTGTTGCAAGTAAAAGCAGTAGGCACGATTTGCTCACAGCAAAAAAGAAGGGAACAGAAGCTCTTACAACTTTTGTGGAGGACAGATTGTTGTCAATATCCAAGGGTTTCTTTGACACAGTTTCTAAGTTGAAGTTGGGCAATTTTAGTAATGCCAAGAAGTCGTCGTCGTTGTCTAAGGAAGGAAAGACTGTCATTTTGAGAGCAGACAGAAATCTCTTTGCACGATTACTAGTTATCGGCAAAAGTCGGAAAGTTGATTTGTGAGAGTTGTTAGTGCACGAGCTTAGCCCTCTTCCCTGGTCACCGGCTTCATGGGTCCTCGGCGAAAACCAATAAAGCTGCTCTTCCCAAACTTTTTGAGGACGGTGTTGACAGCCTCCAACATCTACCAGCTCAAACGTCAGCAGTCATCATGGATCCAACGGCAATACTACAGATGCTCAGCAAGATTCCAGACAAATTTTCTGACTTGGGAGAGATGGTGTTCAACAGAATCTTGTTCCAAGCTGGAGAGGCAACAAGGGTGGACTTCGTAGGCGATCAGTATCCTGAAATCTCAATAAAAAACATAGAGAGAGATAGAAGATGAAAAAGTGGCCAACTAGCCGTCAACATCAATGGCCCACAACAGTTGTGCTCACGTCAATGGAAAAATTTATGTCCACTGGTAGCAATAAGGAGGGTCTGCTGAACCTTCTTGTCCATGAATGGTCAACCAACTAAGCTTATGCTCAGAAGATTGGAAACCGTGTGTTGTACGTCACTCACGGAAACTTAACGCCTTTGAGGGTAGAATGACCGCAACAGATGCTGTGGATCTTCATAGCACTCAGGTAGAGGCAGATACGAGGATGTTTCTTCACGCCTCCCATGCTTCTGCAGATGGACATCACAGCATTGCAGTATTCTCGTCAGATACGGATGTCAAAGTACTGGCATGCCACCATCAAGTAGCCATTCCTGCCGAAATAATACTGATAAGCGGCACAAGGAGTAGATCGCGTTTGCTAAGCATTAGGCGACTCTGTGAAAAGCTTGGACATAGAGTATGTCAGGTTCTTCCAAGTTTGCACGCTTTGACAGGCTGCTGAATACTGTCAGCTCGTTTGTTGGAAAGGGCAAGAAAAAGGCGCTTGAATTAGTCAAAGATGACCAGATTGCAAGGGAAACCATTCCACTAGGTGAGCACGACATCATCAAGCTGGAGAAAGTAGTCTGCAAGTTGTATAATGAACACCAATGTGACCGTGTCGATGAGCTGTGTTACAAGATGTTTTGTACAGGTAACAACAAGAGCCTCTTTGGAAAACCACCTCAAACGTGCAAACTATCAAGCATATACATCTGGAGGTGTGCTCTAGACCCTCAGTCTCCTGACATAGGACCGGAAAATCAAGGCTGGCAGCTGAGGGACGGTCAACTTGAGATTGTATGAACGGTCCTTACGCCCGCTCCAGAAGCCGTTATGGAGTTAGTTTGCTGTGGGTGCCACGGCACTTGCCTAACAAGACGTTGTTCTTGTGTCAGCAATGGGTTGCCTTGCACGGAAGCGTGTTCCTATTCTGACCAATGCGCCAACAGTGTAACAGGCCCCGAGGATGAGGATGATGACGAAGATGACGAAGAACGAGAGGACGAGTAATACGCCTCAAAGAACAAAGAGCAATTCAGTGATTTTGCTGGCCTTTGTTAATTAATATTGGTTGTCATGGCAACCGAAGAATAAGGTCGAGTTACAAAAGGATTGTTATAAAGAGACCACATGCTGGTAAAATACCAGTTGCAACCCTTTAAGAAGAAACTAGAGTCTATACTACAAACCCGAGGAAAGTACATTTGAGCTTCATAGATATATAACACTACAATTAGAGTGGAGCTAAGGGACAACTAGGCTTTATTTGGTCTATATTTCTTATTTGCGATATTAATAATCTAAGTCAAAACAAGTCATTATAGAGTGAAAGGGACAGTATCCCGTTACTGTGCATGCACCAAACTTTGATTTTCGGACAGGATGTCGCGAAATCAAAAGATGCGAGGAGAGTAAGAGAACCTTAAAAAGTCCGTTTGCATCGCGCTACGCCGAGTTCAATACTACACTAAAACGTCTCAGGATTACAGATCAATGATATATTGTTCTCGTTAAGTTTCTATTTGGGCGAAATCGGGATTTTTTGGCGGTACTTTTATTGCCGTTGGCCGGAGGATCAAAAGATGGGAAGCGCTTTGATGCGAATTGAAGGCTTATTTCTTCTGCAAGCTTCCATAAAAGCTCAGATAATTGTGAACGGAATACGCAGAAAAGAAACAGCAACAATAAAGACTGTAAGAACGAAACCATTGGGACGTTGATGTGACTGAGGAGATCTTCTGGAATTAAGCTTCGTGAAGCAGAATGTTTTGCAACGACGCGTTAGTAAACTTTTAATCCTTAACGCCGACAAAATCCAACAAACAGGCGCTACATGTTTAGACAGACTAGTGCAATGAAATCATAATATAATTTTTGACTAACCTTTGCGATGGTTCATAGCGTTGAGATTGCATTTTTATTTGAATCTTTCAAACGTTTGAGGCTAAAACGCGAGCAAATCAGGCAAATATTACTTCGAACAATTGACCTCTGACACGAGTTTCACGTTAGAAAAGTTGTTTTTAAAGTGAGCGGAACGAGATTTTCGGGTCGTGAGGAGGCCCTGCTAGCGATAAAATCGCGACGAGTCTTCATGGTGCGAGCCAAATTTTAAATAGGACAAAAGACTTCTTTGAAAGTCTAAAATATCACTTGAGAATGTAGACAACAAATCTCCGTCGGTGGTGTGGTCAAATCAATATGACAGTTCTGTTGTCTTTTGAAGAAAAAACAGATGACGCTGGCGCATGCACATAATCTGAACACTGTCCCTTTAAAGGACGCACTTTAAAAGTCTATTTTTCCATATCACCGTTGCCACGGCAACCTAACTGCGAGGACATTTGCATATGCAAAACGGTTGAGCTCATGTCTCTTGCAAATGACGTTAAAATGAGCCGTTAAAATGGTCATTTTTTAGAAAACATCAATCGTTTTAGGGCATTTTTGGCGCTCTGTTGGGCGTTGCCCTGCCCACCACCCACTCCTAAAAAAAAAGAGCACGGATGCTTTGTAAAGGTAAACAGCTACCATTATGGTTACAATGGAAACCACGCTATAGTCACGTTTTTTTTTTTTTTCACCACTGTATATTGTTTTTTTGATAGTTTGATTAAAAATAGCAACGAAAACAGTGAGACAATGGTGTTTCACAATGACCTAGGGATTTCCATGGTAACCGTTGCCATGGCAATCTGCAATGTAAATACAAACATGAAATGTAATAAATATGAACTTGTTTAGAAGCAATTCAAGTTTTTACCCTTATTTGATTGGCACTTACAACGTTATTTGTTTTTTAATAACACAGAACTTCATAAGACAAAAAATGCTCCCTACCCTCCCCCCGTTAAAAACGCTCTCCTATCTCCTTAACGTGCAAGTTGCCAGCCGGGTAACAAGTGAATTCATAAAATATAGTCCATAAGCTTTAATTTGGTACCAAAATAGCTTGGTCCCAGAGGGGGTACTACGAAAATCACTTTTGGGGGCTTTGGCTCATGGACTATAAGGTTGCAGAAAGAATTCACTTAGATTTCGTTGTCTCCATCTCTAATTTGACCTCGGTTTTCAAAAAAAAAGCCTGCTAGTTCGTTTCAGATTGACCTTACTACCTCAAACAAATTCCTCTAAGTTAATATATAGCTTGTGTTTCTGGGCTTAAATTTTCGTGGAGGACAAGAAAAAGGGAAAGAAAATGTGGTCACAGCCTGTGAAATCCTAAGCTTAAAACGGCCAATCAAAGTGGGCCATTCAGCCTTATTCCAGCTTGCCATATAATAACAAATTTAGTACTACTATTGTGACAATATTGGCCAATAATGGTATATTGTAATCGGTCACGTGTTGGCCTCGTTTTCATGAATTACAGAGTTGTTGTTAAACCGCCATCTTGAAGTGCTCTCTACTCTTGTCTCTTGTTGTTACATGGTGGCAGCTGTGGCCGTTAACCATGCTGATTCTGAAAGTCAATCTTCAGGACCGCAAGCTTTAGCTCCTGCTTTTCGACGGCCACAAGTCTCTCCTCCGCAACCTCTAGAGATCGAAGGCGATCGGGCCGACAATTGGAAAATCTGGAAACAAAGATGGCAAAATAACTGTATTATCACGGGCTTACACAGCCAACCTGAAGACTACAAATGCGCCATTCTTCTGCACAACATTGGAATAGATGCCATGCGAATCTACAACGGTATGAAATTCTCTGAAGGCAAGGACCGCAACAAGATGGCAGATATTATAGCCAAGTACGACCAGCACTTTTTCGGTCAAACACAGGAATTCTTTGAGCGTTTTCAGTTCAATCGTAGAGATCAAGCTTCTGGTGAGTCAATCGATGAGTACCTCTCAGTTCTGCGAAACATATCTAAAACTTGTGGTTTCTGTGACTGCATGCGAGATTTTTTGATCATGGACCGCCTGCTCCTGGGCATCACAGGTGACAAAACGCGCAAAGAACTACTCTCCACTCATGACAACTCTAAACAAGGCTATTGAAATCTGTCGAGGAATGGAAGCTGCTTCTCATAACATGAACGCACTGAAAAATGAGGAAGTTAATAAGATCAAAGACATATCGCAGAAGAAATCAGGACAACATAAACACTGGCATAGAATAAAGAAACCTCTCCAAAGTATTGATCAAAAAGCTTTACAGAAGAAGTGTCTCTTCTGCTATCAAATTAAGGCGAAATGTGTCCAGCCTGGGAAAAAAGCTGTGTGGCCTGTGGTGAGAGAAATCACTTCAAAGCCTCAAACAAGTGTAAACTTCAAAGCGTAAACTCTCTTGCTGATGATTACTCCTCGGACTCCCTTGAAAGCAGCACTGAGACAATCAGCACTGTAAGAGCTTGCGAGGATCCAGTTGTCAATTCAGTAGATCCTGGCAACCAGCTTATTTTCTGCGAAATGGAAATCAATAACAAGCCAGTCAGGATGCAAATTGACCGTGGGGCTACAGTCTGTATCCTTCCAAAGTGTTACCTGGGGGACCTGCCTATTCCTATTCGTCTGCAGATGGGGAACAAGAAATCTTTATCTGCTCTTGGCAAGTGTAAGGTGAAAGTAAGGAACCCCACCACTATTGAGCAGTACAAAGTGGACTTTGCCATTGTTGACAACGACCTCACACCTCTTCTCAGCAGTGTTGCTGCTCAAAAGATGAATCTTACAAGTGTTCATTTTGACAAGTTCAAAGCAGTCAATGTTGTCACCCAAGTCAACCACCCGTACTTCACACAGTTTCCTGATGCATTTAAAGACACCGGTCGTACCCTACCTGGGAAGAAAGTTCTCTTAACAACCAGTGAAGGTTCCACTCCTGTAATCCGTTGTGCCCGCACCGTGCCTGAGTGTAGAAAATAAACTGTCATTGATGAACTTCAGCGTCTAGTGGATGCAGGCATCATTGTACCAGTGGATGAACCTACTGACTGGGTCAGTTAAATGTCTGTCGCTGAAAAGAAATCTGGAATTCGTATCTGTATTGACCAAAGACCTCTAAATGAAGCACTTAAGCGGTAACACTATAAGCTCCCCACTCTTGAGGATGTCCTCCAGAACTTAGCAAGGCGAAAGTATTCTCCGTTTGTGACCTCAAATCTGGCTACCTTCACTGTGAGCTCGATCATTCATCAAGTTTGTTAGCATCGTTTGCTACCCCTTTCGGCCGCGATCAAAAAGTTGAAGTCTCACCTGGCGCGTTATAGTATCCCCAAAAAATTGGTAACCGATAATGGCCCCCAGTTTACATCCAGTGAATTCAAGTCCTTTACAAAGAAATAGGCCATTGAACACACCACAACATCACCGCACCACAGCAAGGCAAATGGCAAGGTTGAATCAGCTGTGAAAACTGCCAAGAAAATGTTGCACAAGACGTCAGTCATGAGAAGATCCTGTACCTCAACATCCGAAACACGCCAACTCAAGGTGTTGCCGGTAGGCCATCACAGCGTCTCCTAGGAAGAAGGACAAGAAGCCTGCTACCGTCCCCAAGATCACTCCTAGAACACAGAAACCCCCAAACCTTAACTTCATGAGATGGAACAACTCCAGTTAAACCAAAAGAGGCAGCAAAGGTGTTAGAATCGGACAGCCCATAACCTTCCAGGCCAGAACATTGGTGACACTGTCAGAATAAAGCCATTTGTGCTGGGCAAACATGATTGGGACAAGGGAAAAGTGACAAGGCGGTTAGATCAGAGGTCCTATGAATTCCAGTTCCAAGGGACAACACCTGGTCAAGAGCCCTCCTGCACATACACAGCATAAGGCGGCCAAACAAACAGTACCAGACCCACTACCTCAAGCCCAACAAAGTCAAAGACGCCAGATTGCTAACCACAAAAACTATGAACAGCGATACAGGCTGCTGGAAGCAAAGCAATCATCACCTGTCCGCACTCGCCCGGGACGTGTCATCAAAGAGCCAGTTAGATTCCAAGACTATTTTAAGACCAAGAATCGTTATTTTATTTATTACCAGGAACTGAGACTATATTGTAATCGGTCTCGTGTCGGCCTCGTTTTCATGAATTACAGAGTTGTTTTTGAACGGCCATCTTGAAGTGCTCTCTTCTCTTGTCTCTTGTTGTTATAACTATGTCCTTGTTAATTGTGTCTACTTTTTCTTAATTTCAGGTTCTAACGGTGTCCTTGTGAAGCTGACTGTCTCAGCCCGAGAGCTTAGTAAGGAGCAGCAAGAAAAAATCGATGAAATTTTGCAACTTCACGTACAATTGTACACAGAAAATCATAAACTCTCCTCACCTAATGGCGTCCGTGCCTTTGTTCAGCACATAACGCGGGCTTACAACCTGGCCGTAGAGTCTGTGGAAATGGGGTCTTTGATTATAACAGTGAAATGCCCCACCCTAGAGAGTCTTGAGAGGCTGTGGAGTGACTATCAATCCGGTTGCCTTGATGACATCGCTGAGATTTTCCTGTTGACTACTGACATAAAGAGTAAACTTGACCTGGATATTGTCAGGTTCAAGATAACTATAGAAGAAGAAAACTACTTGGCTTTTAAGAGGGCTCTTTCAGGTACGTTGAGCAATTTCAGTGAAGCCTTTTAAAAAACTTCAAATTGAGAAATAGGTTTATTTGTTCCAGCTCAGTTGTAGAGGGGCGAGTTTGCGATCCCTTAGTAGTTTGACATTCCAATATGAAACAATTTTTAAAGAAACTCAAATTGTAGTGTAACTCAATAAGGGCAAAAGTATATGCTTAATTTTAAAACCGTGAGGACCTTTTTTTACTGTTTATTTAGTGAACCATACTAGCCTCGCAAAATACCTTTCTCTTTTTTTAATCTTGACAATGGCGTTATGATGATACCAAAAATGGCCTTTTCGCTTTTCTTGTTACCATCATCGTGATGATCATAATCATCATTTTTCTTTTAGTACACCTTACAGGTTACCTTTTTCAGTAAATGGAAGAGCAGGTCACTGAGGCGGAACAGGAGGTTATTATTGCGAACAATAACCTACCGTTTTACTGCATTGCGCGCTCGGTCTTTAAGAAGGCCTCCAAGCTTAGGCATTATTTTTTATATAACCATGTTAAACCAAGACACTCTGTTACAGGAATGATTTGTAAAGAAGTCGTGGAAATTATTCCAAGAAATAAAAATTACTGGCAAATTGGCAAAGCCGTGAACTCCGAAAATATATCTAGAATGTTAATGTGGTTTGACCAAATACATGCGACGTCTTGAAAAAACTGCAAGTAATACACGGACTTAAATCAAACACGGTTGATTTCTTCTTTCTTCACTTCCTTCCTTATCTATCTTATTATAGATGCCTTTTACTGTTTCGTCACTAACGCACACAAGTGCCATGTTTATATCGGTTGACAGCGGGCGCTTCCTTCTAATCGAGCGTGAAAGTGTCGGCGATTCCTGGTAGTACATCAATTTCATCTTAAGCGCTGTGTGAAATTTTATTAGCAGAGTTCTTCTTTAGCAGATCATTAACTCTCTTCTCAGTAGCGGCGGGTCGCAGGTTACTGCTTCTGGTCTCTTCGTTACAGAAACGAAATTGCTGGCCTGAATACTTTTGTTTACCAGGGTCTTTTTTGGGCAACAGATTTTTTGGCGCGCTTTGTCCTTAGCGCCTCATCGTCCGAGTCACTGCTTGAATGCTCGTCGTGACTTTCCATAATGGTTAGATGGCCAATAGAAGTCTACTTGTCCTCAAAGGGCTTTTTCATAGTTAACTGAAGTGTCGCTAGCAAGTTTGCTATAAGCAACTGATTGCAGTAACAATTTCAATTGAGCCACTTTTTTGGCCGGTATGGCCGTCACCTCCACGGGTGTGGCTTGTTTCGTTCATCACTGAGAGGAAAGAGAGTTGGAAACCTGATAAGAAGTTTCTTGAACTTGAGACATTTCCTTCAGCGATGATTTTCAATTGACTCAGATCTGGAAAATGCGATTTGAGAACTGGTTTTAATACCATGAAGTCACTTAGACCGACTCGAGCGAAGGCGGCGAATGCGCTGTCCACACGGGCGGCTAGTGCCTTCTCGCGTTTTCTCGTAGTGTGCACGATGACGAGGCAGAATATAGGGAGTTCTCAGTGCAAGTCACAAATTTTAGAAAATGGGGTTGTTGCGACCGCACTTCGCTCAGTTCTTTCAAGTGGCGTTTACTCGGAGTTGTTTGAGTTCACGTTATTCCAGTATTTCATTCTACTTTGATCCGGGTTTACCACTGGTTTGAAGTTAATGATCTATCTGAGAAGTTTTCCGAGTCTTAGGCTGTTTCCTTATATGGAAGGAGGTGGAAGAGGATGTACGGGAATGGTTTGTTTAATAAATACTAGCCTACTGACTTGATGCGAAAGCGTTGTCAAGTAGACGACCAAGCTCCGAAAGAAAACACACTTCTTGGGTTTATGTGTTCATAATATGTATGATTTTAAGGTAAACAAACGTCAAGGACTGCTTTAATTGATGCATCCACCAATTTCTTTTTTTAGAGCCAAGAAAGAAAATGAAAGGTAATGTGTCCTCGATTGCTGTATTCATTCTTATGACCACCATCATTCTACTTCGGTAGCTCGTAGTAATAGTAACTGTCTATTAAGTAACCTGAGGCCCTCAATGCGCTCATTTTACCCCCCTTTTTACTAGGTATCTTAGCAGTAGCGATTTATTTGGAAACTGGTCAGATTGTAAAATGATTGCGTCGTACATAATTAATATACCGTGAGCTCGAAGGAAACAGAATGAATGACAGAATTAAACCAATGAAAAAGAAATGACCACCTTTTATTACTTTGCACTGGAAACTATTAATTAAAGGGAAAAAAGAAAAAAAAAATAACGATTTAGAGATAGCACATCCACGTATTTGTTCTTCGGTTTTCCATTCCTGTTCGAATTGGAAATTGACAGAAAATTTGAATATGTTGGTTTTTGAGGAGAGGGGAAAGCCGCAGTACCCACAGGAAAACCTCTCAGAGAGAACCTACAACGAACTCAACCCACATATTTGCAATTGCCGCATAAATAAAAGATGGATACGATAAACTTGTTCAATTGGATTTTTCAGACATTTAATTGTGTTTGGAAAGTAATAGTGCACTTATTTTTCGTAAAATCTGTGCGCATATTAATTTAGCTATTTGCTAGATTTAGCGAGTTTCCCATATACTTCTTTAAGCAGTAATGTCGAATGTTTCCAAGTTGATCATATATTATAATCAAATATGTGTATCGTATTTTTTTGGTTATTTTGGAAGAGTCTTAGATAACTTACATCTACCATAAAGACAGAATTATGTTCATCACCTTGTTCAGTTACATCACTTTCTTAATCAATGCATCCACCTATTTCTTTCTTTAGAGACCGAAAGGAAATTTGAAGGTAAGATTTTACTAGCGGAGCTCTCTCGCGCGCAGCGGAGCGCCATAGGTAAGAAAATTTGGTAAACAATTTGGCTACGACGTAGCGTACGAACGCCGACCGTCTGTACACCCACTACATGTAAGCCGATGTCAAGTGTCACATTAGATCTTGCTCAAATATTCACACTTTCCTGTCAGTTATGTAGGCCATCCGTATGAGGATGAATTGACAGCTGTCAAAATAAGACATCCGCTGACAATTGTCATAGGACCATCTCGCGGGCTCAGATTAAAAACTACTCGTTTTGCCCCTACATATAAGCTGTTATAGTATAACACAGTTGTCAGTAGTTTGAAGTTATATGCGCAAGCCAAATCAAGGTTAATTGACAGCTGTCAAAATGGGACATGTGCAAACCACTATCAGAAAACTAGTAACGTGAGCTCAGGTACACGATCTGGCGTTTCGCCACTACAAGCCGGACTTAAATGTCTTACTCACACTCACAGTCGATAGTCCGTTTTGTTTAAATATTCGCCATTCTAGTGAAGGTCAATTGACAGCTGTCAAACTAGAGCATTCGCTGACCGTCATCGCCTGACTGTATCATGGGCTCATTTTTCTACCCATCGGGGTCGCATATTTTTTTAAAGTTTTCTAGTAATATTTTATTTGATCACGGGCTCTATCCCTCCTAGACAATTTCGCAAGCACGTGACCGTACACCGACCGTCTGACCGTCTGCACCACAGGCTAGCAATGTTTACTCTCACACTTTCTAGCTAGTTTGGGAGCCTGCAGCCTGCTATTGTACATCCATGTTACCATCCATGTGTAAAAAAGAAAAAAGTGTATCCGCTGACCAGTATCGCCTGACCGTATCGCGGGTGCAGGTATCGACCCACTGAGTTGGAGTACTTTTTTTGAAATTATCCGCTGACAAGTTACTACTTTTCAAAAGACCGCAGGCTCAAGTTCAAATTTTTTAAAATACATGTGAAATAAGTTATTTGGATGAGCTGCACCATTAAAATTTTGATTTTAAACTGACCTCGAACGCAAAAAAAAACTCAACCGGCTTTTACATGAAGGGAAGGCAGTCGCTTTTGACTTTTTTCACCACGGTCACGCGTTGGTCACGCTCTTCGTCTAATTTTTATGCTCTGATTGGTCAAAAATTGACAGGTGAGTTTATGTGGAAAATGTATGCAGCATCTGTAAACTTGTTTTGTGATAGCTGAAGCTGACAGAGTTTTGTGTCGCCAACTTGTCATGTTTTTAACTGTCTTTTTTCACTGGAATGAATACAGCTGCTATCAAGATTCATGGCTGGTTTGTTTATTGGATTTATGGGTGAGAAGTGCGCCGCCTGTCAAAATTATCGGAAATCCAATTTCGTATGGCATTATTTTCGTTTTTTCACCCTGCTTGATGCGTAAGACGGTTTAAAAGGCCCAAGTGACTCTGGCCTTACTTGATTCAGGTTTCCTAAAGCCGAGCGTAGTTTATGCGGCTAGTGTATGCACGAGATAATGATCTGACCTACAATAGTATCACGGTTTGATATAAGCTTAGAGAACTTTAAAAAGCCTTTAGACATTTTCTGACCGCAATTAAATAAAAAAAAAAAGACGTTCCGTAGAATATTTAGTTATGATTTTGGCTGAAAAAGAAAGGTCTGAGCGATTTTCTTGCTTCGAGTTCATCTTGAAAAATAGCAAACACCGAGAAGCCAGGTTTTTTATAAAGTTTATAAGCTGACTCATGATTTTCAGAGACACTTTACCCTCTTCGTGAATGAAAATTGTTGTCTCTGTACACGTTTCACCGAATTCTATTTATTTTATTGATTGTTAGTCGTACATTAAACATTGCATGCAGGAGTACTAAAAATGACGCGTGTAAATACCAAACGCTTTTAAAGATCACACTTAACAAAACCATGAGTAAAGAGACATAAAGCCCAAACATAATGAATTCTCTATCATGTTGAAGCGTAACTCTATGAGTGTTCATTTACTTACAAGACAGCCGAGACTGGAAATTTTGGTGGTTGTCAAAAGTGAGAACACGTCCGGCTGGCCGTATAGGTGATTTTGGGGATTTTCCTATCGTTTTCACTAAAAGCCCATACTCATTACCCTACATATGACATAGGAGCATATTTTTCTGACTGAAAACTCGCTGCATTATGCTGAATTCTCTTCATGAAAACGT